TAGTTAAATCGACTGCCGATATATCTTTAATTTATGATATTTGCCAACAAGATTGATACACATTAGTTTTCCTTCTTTTAATAAAAATATATTTTAATACACAAACAATAATACAACTTACAATAACAGTTATTACAAACAATGACTTATACACAAAAGTTTCACAAACTTACAAACAATATAAAGTCTTCTTTCTAATCGGGAACTTCCTTGATATCTTATCGAGGGTTGACGATGAGCAAGTTAATTTCGAGTTGACGTAGGTATAATTCCCTTAACAGGGAACTAGCTAGCCCTGTAATTCTCGCTGATCACACGCCGATTACAGGTCGAGTTTCCACCAATGACATTAGGTAATATTTTCGTAAAAGTACTAATGTCCGATGTGAATCCACTAAAGTTAAATGGTTTGTAATGTTCGAAATTTATAGATGTTCCTGGTCAAATATCTTAAGTTTCCCGATTAATAAGCGTTATAACAATCACAGTTGTAGCTTTTGAGAATTAGAGTATATCAACTATAGAAAATCAATAATAGATACTGTTTTTAGGCGCGTCGCGTTAGTTATATTTATAGGCGTGTGGAGAGTTTACGTAACAATACAAAGCTACACTATTGTTTACGTATACACATGTATTGTTGATTCTTACACTCGAGAATCTTCTACAACTTTAAAGAATAGGCAAGAATTTCGCAATACATATTTAACAGTATAAGTTATGTACATTTCAATATAAATTTAATTTAAACAAACATCGATATTAAAATAAATATAGAATAATAAATCCGTCACAAGGACTATCTGCACTACCTTAACTTTGGGGTGTTAAGCTCATGCGTTATAGGAGGTATCCTTCAATTTGAAAATCCCCAACATATTCACAATTTTATGAATTAAACACCCATAACCCATACAAACAAAACAGTATGTCTACGTTTCTATTCGGAGTAAAATATATTTGACACAGAAAATCATTTTTGCTAACTTTCTCATGCCATATTTAAAGTTCAACACAACAGAATATATTGTAGTGAACTGAAATCTTCCACACTGCTTCACTTCATTAGCATTTTTATTAATACAGCATAAATTATTTGAAGATGGAGAACTGGTTGAAATAGGCTACAAAGGTTTTAATATAAATTTAAGATATAGTTATTTTTTACGGCTCATGACTTTAAAAAGTATTGTTAAATAATATTCTGCATAGTGAGCCCTTTTCATTACAATTACTTCTTTGTGAATGACTCTTTAGTTGTGGGTATTAATGACAACACAAATAATGTATATATATAAAGAGCTGTCTACTATTATAAATAAATCAAACTTTTGAATAGAAACAAAAAAATTAGAATACAGTATTTTATTTTAACTATAATTTTAATGGAATTGCTTTTTACATTATATATATATACATAGGATCTATACTAAAAATTCAAAATTCTTGCGGTTGAGGCAATACAGATAGCTAGCTAATTATGTAACTTAGTGCTTAACAACAAAAAACAACAAAATAAGAATGAAAAATCGTGTTGGAAAGGTTCCATCGCAGTTAATCTTTATTCACGTGAAACACCAATACTAAGAAATCTTAAGGATGTGAAAAAAAATGATATAATTGTATCCCATAGGAGGGTTTATACTCAGACCTCAAATGTTCCCACTTGCTTTTTTGTAACTTTGAGAAAGCTTTCATTGTGAATAAATGATGTATGCTACGTACGTACCGTGGAAGTGTCTTGACTGAAACGTCTATGATACAGGTACAATCATCTAATGGATTCATCCAAAAGAATTAATATACCATAACATTAAAGAATAACAAATGACCTTTTGGCCCATCTAGGTAATCAGGTCATCCTATCCACGAAATTAAACTAAAAAACTAAAACAAAACAACCTCAAATTCTGTTCTTTATCATTCAAATATTATCAAGCTTTCTTTTAAAATTCTTTCAATTAACTGCATCTACCATATCTAAGGGCAACCGGTTTTCCAAAGCAAACCGCTCTGTTAGAATAATAAAGCTGGTTTAACTGAAGATGACTCCTACCCTGCCAAAAATTATACTTTTCCTCTATTCCCACCATTAAATACTAAAAAAGATGCTGCAAGAACACTATCAGTTGTTTTAATAATCTTAAACACCTCAATCAGGGCACCTCTAACTCAAACAAGTTCAGAGATTTTAACTTGTCCTCATAAGACAATCTTTCCATGTTCAGGTATCATCCTAGTGGCCTTCTTCAGAACCCTTTCCAACAATTCAATGTCCTTTCTGAGGTAAGGAGCCGGAGACTGTACACAATATTCCAAACATGGCATAACCAATGCCATATACAGTGGCATTATAACATCTTTAGACTTCTATTCAATATTTCTGTAGATACAAGCTAAAATCCTATTTGCCCTGACACTAGCAACAGTACATTACTCGGTTGGCTTAAGATACTGATGAACCACAACACCAAGATCTTTCCCTTCCATAACACTGTTAAAGTTATTCTCATCAATATCGAATTCATAATTCAAATTGTGATATCCCACATGCATTAACTTGCATTTATTATAATTAAAAGTAATCTGCCATTTATTCGTCCAACACATCAAATAATTTATACCCTTTTATAAGTATCCTCCTCACAACCAGCAATACCCAAACTTTTAATGTCATCAGCAAATTTGAATAATTTATTGACCATTATTTCATCTATGTCATTGATGTAAATCAAAAAGAGCAAAGGTCCTAACATCGAGCCATGAGGTATCTCACTCGTGACTCTCTAATTTCTTCCATCTTGCCAGTTTTCTATCCATCGAGACAACCTATCCCCCACATCTACAGAGATAACATTTTAAACAAGCATTTTATGTGGCACCTTGTTAAATGCTTTTTGAAAATCCAAATACACTACATCCACATCTGTACCCTCATCTACATAAGCAGTAACCTCTTCAAAGAATGTCAAAGGTGAGATTTTACCAAAATGAAACCATACCCACTATCCAACATAATTTTAAAGTTTGTTAAGTGATTTTGTAAAGTATCTTTGCCAGACTTTTAAAAACTTTTCCCATCACTGGTGTAAGACTAATAGACGTATAACTACCGGGCCAATTTTAATCAATTCCATTGTAAAAAGGAATAACATAAGCGAACTTCCAATTTTCTAACATCTTCCCACTATTCAAAAACTTTGAAGATGATAGTAGCAAGTGGCTTACATATCCAATTCTTAATCTCTTTCAAAATTCTCAGGTAAATATT